AGGCCGAAACAATCAAAATATGTAGTCGACGCTGATGTTGTTCTACAAATATATTTAATAATCAAGAAGGGATCGTCCGATGTCAGCTGTGTCCGTAAATCCGTATATCTATTGTACTGCTCTACACGAAGCGTCTTCTTTGTAGCGTCACTTAGAGCGTTCTTGTTTTTTAACCCACTCTACGTCATCGTCGCTAAGTAAAACTTTCCCCTTATTCCCGAATCAAATAACTAATTCCTAATCATGTCATAACAACTCCTCCCTCTCCCGCTAAAAAAAAATTGCCTGTCAATTATTATTATTATTATTATTATTATTATTATTATTATATCAATATATTAAATAGCAAGTGTAGTAGTCAACATTGATACGAAATTGTATAAAGTCAACAAACCTTCCAAAAAAGTAATTGCCAGTATCAGTACCAGAGACAATCTGACATTGGCCATGGCTCAACAATATATCTGTCATTAATTGTAGACAAATCCAAAATTTAAAAAAAAAAAGAACTTGAGTGATTTCAGTCAACTGTTTATAGCCTGCTATAGCAACAATAAAAGTAATTGAAGTAAAGACTCTCAAAATTGGATTTACGGAAAGAGTCTAAGCACTTCTTTAGTACTGATATAGAGGCATTTGGTTCTATTATATCACACCTCTCACTTTGTCTAATTAAATAAAGAAACTGTGTTAAAAATCAATGTGTTCATTTCGTCAAGAAAGAAGACAACGAAAGAGTACGAGTTCAGTTCTCATCCTCCTCTCAGACTTACTTTAAGAAGCGGACGCCTGTGTAGTGGAGATTTTGTCTATGGCTAATTTTTATGTGTGTTTGCGTGTGAAGATTGTGACACCCTAGTGTGTGTGTGGGGGGGAGATGTGATTTAATTGCAAATATTTTCAAACAGTAAGTGTCTTAAAATTGTTTTCAGAAATGTGGTCCTATAGTGCATTTCATGTAGACGCTATTAAATGCATCAAAGCAATGTAGATCTAGCTTATTTAATAATTGTGTTATAAATAATTTGGATGCCTGGTCGTGTGGCATGTGTGCTTCGATCTGCCGCCACGATGGTCCCGAGCTAGAGCTTTGCCCTCTGCCACCAGGGTCGGGCTTAGGTACTTCGAGGCCCTAGGCGAAGTGAATAGGGTTGCCCCGAGTGAATTAGAAAAACAAAAAGTTAAGACCGAAAAATACGCAATGAGTTAAAAACAAAAAAGTTGGTCCTGTATCTAAACAAATTAAGTTAAATTCATTTAGCGCCAATAACACGATTTCACCTAATGAACAACAGACTAGAACTAACGTTTTGAAGAAACAATGGTCTTCGATCCTATGTAGTCTAACTAACAAGTAGATTTAAACATTCGGGAATAAACCTTCAATCATAGTAAAGACTTAAACCTAGGCTAGTAGACATAGAGTTCTGCTATTTTTGAGATTTGATCCATGTTTCGCAATTTCTTCTCTAAAAATAAATTTCTATAAGTCTTGTGCGAGTCTGTTAAGTTTGCCTATGACTAAGGCCGGCTCTGCCGTCCAGTAGGAGGTTCGGACTATGACGTAATACTCGTCATTGCTGAACATAATTCGGCAACGTTTGAAACAAACAATTTAACGTTTTTCAGAGTTACCTACCCCACACCCCGCCACTTTTAAATACTATGATCTGCCTATATTTTAACTCCTTTTAATATAAGAATTACATTTATTCAAATGCATGTTAGAAAAGCACATTTGTATCCAAAAGGAAGAACAGTGGATAGGGTTAACCAATATCCTCTAACGTTTTGCAGATCCGCCTCTTGTTCTATGTACGTTGTAGGCGAAAGAGTGGATGTGTTCATGTGGATGAGTATAACTGTGTGTATAGGATGTGTGTTGATGTAAGCTTGGGAGTATGTGTATGTGTGTGTTGATGTAAGCTTGGGAGTATGTGTGTGTGTGTTGATGTAAGATTGGGAATATGTGTGTGTTGATGTAAGCTTGGGAGTATGTGTGTGGGGGTTGATGTAAGCTTGGGAGTATGCGTGTGTGTGTTGATGTAAGCTTGGGAATATATATGTATGTGTGTGTTGATGTAAGCTTGGACGTATGTGTGTGTGTGTGTGTTGATGTAAGCTTGGGAGTATGTGTGTGTGTTGATGTAAGCTTGGGAGTATGTGTGTGTGTGTGTGTTGATGTAAGCTTGGGAGTATATGTGTGAGAGTATGTGTGTGTTGATGTAAGCTTGGGAGTATGTGTGTGTGTGTGTTGATGTAAGATTGAGAGTATGTGTGTGTGTGTTGATGTAAGCTTGGGAGTATGTATGTGTGTGTTGATGTAAGATTGGGAGTATGTGTGTGTGTGTTGATATAAGCTTGGGAGTATGTATGTGTGTGTTGATGTAAGCTTGGGAGTATGTATGTGTGTGTTGATGTAAGATTGGGAGTATGTGTGTGTTGATGTAAGCTTGGGAGTATGTATGTGTGTGTTGATGTAAGATTGGGAGTATGTATGTGTGTGTTGATGTAAGATTGGGAGTATGTGTGTGTGTGTTGATATAAGCTTGGGAGTATGTATGCGTGTGTTGATGTAAGCTTGGGAGTATGTATGTGTGTGTTGATGTAAGATTGGAAGTATGTGTGTGTGTGTGTTGATGTAAGATTGGGAGTATGTGTGTGTTGATGTAAGCTTGGGAGTATGTATGTGTGTGTTGATGTAAGATTGGGAGTATGTATGTGTGTGTTGATGTAAGATTGGGAGTATGTGTGTGTGTGTTGATATAAGCTTGGGAGTATGTATGCGTGTGTTGATGTAAGCTTGGGAGTATGTATGTGTGTGTTGATGTAAGATTGGGAGTATGTGTGTGTGTGTTGATATAAGCTTGGGAGTATGTATGCGTGTGTTGATGTAAGCTTGGGAGTATGTATGTGTGTGTTGATGTAAGATTGGAAGTATGTATGTGTGTGTTGATGTAAGCTTGGGAGTATGTATGTGTGTGTTGATGTAAGCTTGGGAGTATGTGTATGTGTGTGTTGATGTAAGCTTGGGAGTATGTGTGTGTGTGTGTTGATGTAAGATTGGGAATATGTGTGTGTTGATGTAAGCTTGGGAGTATGAGTGTGGGGGTTGATGTAAGCTTGGGAGTATGCGTGTGTGTGTTGATGTAAGCTTGGGAATATATATGTATGTGTGTGTTGATGTAAGCTTGGACGTATGTGTGTGTGTGTGTTGATGTAAGCTTGGGAGTATGTGTGTGTGTTGATGTAAGCTTGGGAGTATGTGTGTGTGTGTGTGTTGATGTAAGCTTGGGAGTATATGTGTGAGAGTATGTGTGTGTTGATGTAAGCTTGGGAGTATGTGTGTGTGTGTGTTGATGTAAGATTGAGAGTATGTGTGTGTGTGTTGATGTAAGCTTGGGAGTATGTATGTGTGTGTTGATGTAAGATTGGGAGTATGTGTGTGTGTGTTGATATAAGCTTGGGAGTATGTATGTGTGTGTTGATGTAAGCTTGGGAGTATGTATGTGTGTGTTGATGTAAGATTGGGAGTATGTGTGTGTTGATGTAAGCTTGGGAGTATGTATGTGTGTGTTGATGTAAGATTGGGAGTATGTATGTGTGTGTTGATGTAAGATTGGGAGTATGTGTGTGTGTGTTGATATAAGCTTGGGAGTATGTATGCGTGTGTTGATGTAAGCTTGGGAGTATGTATGTGTGTGTTGATGTAAGATTGGGAGTATGTGTGTGTGTGTTGATATAAGCTTGGGAGTATGTATGCGTGTGTTGATGTAAGCTTGGGAGTATGTATGTGTGTGTTGATGTAAGATTGGAAGTATGTATGTGTGTGTTGATGTAAGCTTGGGAGTATGTATGTGTGTGTTGATGTAAGCTTGGGAGTATGTATGTGTGTGTTGATGTAAGCTTGGGAGTATGTATGTGTGTGTTGATGTAAGCTTGGGAGTATGTATGTGTGTGTTGATGTAAGCTTGGGAGTATGTATGTGTGTGTTGATGTAAGCTTGGGAGTATGTATGTGTGTGTTGATGTAAGCTTGGGAGTATGTATGTGTGTGTTGATGTAAGCTTGGGAGTATGTATGTGTGTGTTGATGTAAGCTTGGGAGTATGTATGTGTGTGTTGATGTAAGCTTGGGAGTATGTATGTGTGTTGATGTAAGCTTGGGAGTATGTATGTGTGTGTTGATGTAAGCTTGGGAGTATGTGTATGTGTGTGTTGATGTAAGCTTGGGAGTATGTGTGTGTGTGTGTTGATGTAAGCTTGGAAGTATGTATGTGTGTGTTGATGTAAGCTTGGGAGTATGTATGTGTGTGTTGATGTAAGCTTGGGAGTATGTATGTGTGTGTTGATGTAAGATTGGGAGTATGTATGTGTGTGTTGATGTAAGCTTGGGAGTATGTATGTGTGTGTTGATGTAAGCTTGGGAGTATGTGTATTTTTATTTCGTCTTTGTGTAGCTGGTTTTTAGTATGTTTGATGTGTGTATGTGTATGATGTGTATGTGTGTGTTATATGTCAGCGCGTATGATTTGTAGTGATTAAGCGGGTGTATTAATTTTTTGTACTGAATGCATATGGCATTGTTGAAATTATAAATGAATGATATAAATATCTTAATTAATCTTAAACTTAGATTTTATTGATGTTTTTATATTGGTATTCTAAAATATATTTTATTTATCAATAGTCTCAGAGATAAAATATAAATTTTCAGAATAAACATTATTATTAAGCACATGTTATACATTCTTTAAATGACAGACTAATGTCTGCGCTTGTTAATGCAAACTGTATCGTACTTATATAATAATTCTTCAATAACTAGATGTAGTTGAGAAATAAACATAACACTATTTCAGTCAACGAACCTGCTGCTAGATTCAAAGACACATTCACAACCGAAACTCCAAATATCAGCATCACAGAATACCTGGCTGTATTCATGGTACAATCTTGTCTCTAGTTCTTGAAGAGTGGAAATAAATTCTTGTTTTAACAGTTTTTTAGTGAATTCATCACTATATTACAATGAGAATACCCGCAAAGTTAATCCTCATTTTAAGTTGCTTTGTTTTACATTTAATTTAAAAGTTTTAAATCTGTACATCAACATTGGTTACAACCTAACATAGACTTATTATCCTTTAATGAAGTACTACGTTCGTTTGGCTTGTTTGCTATAATAGTATACAATCATTACTTTCTCAAGAAATTTGTTGATGAAAAAAAATGCCTAGTGTAGACATGAGAAATATTAGAATTTAAAAGTGTGCGTGATAAAAATGCGAATCTTTTACTTTTTACAAGTTGCCATATAACGAATGGGCCAGGTTTTTGTCCCGTGAAGATGTGGCACTACAATTGACTTCAGAAGTGCGTGGGTCTACTCACGAGAATCATGACCCAACTGGTAGTCCACGTCCACACTTTTGCTGTTTGAAGTGGTACTTGGTTATACACTACCAACCCACATTTATATACTACACAGAAGATAAGATCACCAACACTGCACATTTTACAGCGCACAGTATGTCATGCGACTCACTAGATACTAAGGGTGGGCATTAAAGAAATCGAAGTTATCCTGTTGAGCCTTGGTTGAGATCGCAGGTCTTGATAGTAGAAGAAATAATTGTTAAATGTAAAAAAGAATGTTTAAAACAAGAAGCGATGACTTTAATTTCTTACAGACATACACTACATTGTGTGTATGTGCCAAAAAACACAAAAATATCAAATTTCATATAGATTTTTTTTCTTTTATAAAAAAACTTTGGAAAAATGAAAAGGGAAATAAATTTATCTTTTGGAAACAAAGTCGTCGCACCTCTTTAGAAGATTTAAACATCTGTGGTCATCAGCTCGGAAAAAGGCAGTGGAAGTCGCCTATGATCAATCTCTCTGTTTCAAGCTTAGCTAACCTTTAGTTCATATTTCAGTTCTTCCACTGAGACTTTAGATCCCTGCAACTTAATAAAACGTGTCAAGGTTATCCAAAAAAATAAATCTTTGTTTATCTTCCGTTTAATCGAATCTACTGAGGAGCTAAAAATAATTGAGGGAGGTAATGCATGAGAGAAATTTAATTTGACTTTAGTTTCTAGAGAATATTCCGATTCTCTATTTGTAATTTAGTTAGAAAGAATAAATATATGCAAGTTTTTTTTAGACAGTCCATAACTTTTAACGTTGGATGTCTGTAATTTAAATTCAAATTATTTTTCAAAAGGGTTTATGTTGGTCCTTTACCAATTCAAATACGTCTGGCCCAGCTTGGATGTATTTATACCAAATAGGGCCATAAGAAAGATACGGCAGTCACCTTACACCAGATTCACAGTCTCATATTTGTGAGCACTTTGCACTTTTTCTATCTCTTGACCTCCATAAATAGTGAAGCCTTTAAAGTAATTATAATCTTTATAGTCCGTAAGGAAATGTGTCTCACACTTTGTGCATTACACCAAACTAAAAACATAATAACTATAAAAAACCAAAATGTACATTCACACCAGACGCACTCATTATTTACATGTGACAAAGTTTATATCAGATTGTTTCTATGTAATGATTTGATTGCCAGGGGAACAAAAGAGTGTTTGTGTCTGTTTGTCTTTGCTATCGGTGTCTTGTATCTCTTTTGTGATGGTAAGATCACAAGATCCTGACCCAAAGGGTGATTCTTTATTTCTAGATCATTTTAGCTTTTTTATAGATGTTTGTCTCAAACAGCTGCCCAAATGAGGTTTGTTTTTTGCCAATGACTTTACCAGCAGCATTTAGGATTCTATGGAGTTTATTTTTATTTTTAATGTTCAGACTGCCATACCAGGCAGTGATATTAAAATTTAAAATATTGCCGATGTGAGCGTGATAAAGCATGGCCAATGCCTTTTCGCTAACATTAAACGAGGACAGTTTTCTCAGTAATCGTAATCTTTGCTGCCTTTTTTTTTTTAGCTGATATAATTAGCATTGATATTGGTGATCTCCGATTGTGAAGAGTAAACAATGTTACGATAATTAACCCCCTTGAAGATGTAATGCACTTGGTAACATGATCCCTTGAGGTTTGAATGTTCCTTGGAGTACGCCCTCTTGACAATGTAATGTTTCCAAGAGCACGCGAGCTTTAAGTTTGAATGTTTCGAAGAGTATGTTTCTCCCACTCCCCCACCCCCTTTTTGAGTTATAATATCTTAAAGTAGATGATGCAAAAGAGATTATTTTAGGTGAATGGTGTCATGTTTATTTTTATTTTTTAATTCTTTTCGAGCACGCATGACATCTCGGTACTCCGGAAACGGAAGTGATCTAAATAAACAAATTGTATTGTTTATTGTTTTACAAGTTTAGGACGTTCCTTCAGAGATGACGATTGTCACGTCCTAGCCCAAACCCCAAACAGGACGTCTTGGGATGTCTGGTGACGTCTAGGGACTTATGGGAACCTATCGGAATGTTTGGTGACGTATGGTAATTTATGGGGATCTATTAGGATGTCTGGTGATGTCTGGGGATTTATGGGGACCCATGGTGATATCTGGTGACGTCTGGGGATTTCTATGGACCTATGGGAATGTCTGGTGACGACTGGGAATTTATTGGGACCTATCTTATCTCATATAATACAAACGTTACTTCAGAAAAGGAGAGGATTACGTCCTACGCGTCATGTGTCATGCATGTTAACCAATGACTTAAATTCTGCAAAGTCACTGCTTTTTCATGGCTGGCTCAGGCAACCCATTCCATGCTCTAATAGCAATATGGAAGAAGGAGCATTTGTATAAATTTTTCCTTGCATATGGGATGAGGAATGTGCCTTTATCTTTGTGTCTTTCTGAGAATTTTATTAGAATTTGTTTTTGTATTTGAAGATTATGGTTCAGTGTTTTATCTATAATTGCTACTTTATTTTTGAGTCTTCTGTCTTGAAGGCTTTCTAGAATTAGTGATTTTACTAAAGATGTTACTCTAGTCAAGTGGGAATATTCGTTTGTTATGAATCTCACTGCTCTGTGTCTGTTCCAGTTTCTTAATATTTTCTTCAGCTGAGGGGTTCCAAACAGAGGATTTGACCTATTATTGTCCTAACCAAGGTTAAATAACATGTTTTATGTTGTTATTTGATTTATAGAAATTTCTTTTAATAAAACCCAACGTTATGTTTGATTTTTTGATGGTTTCATCAATATGGGGATTCCATTTCATTTATTATAACACGTAGGTATTTTACGTTTTTAGTCTGTGTTACTGGTTTACCATGAATAAGATAAGTGAAATTAATTTTTCTTGGTGGAAAGACATGCTCTAATTTGATTCCCATTTCCGTATAGGGATATTTGGTGACGTCTGTGAATTTATGGGGACCTCTGGTGACGTCTGGAGATTTATGTTGACCTATCGGTATGTCTGGGGATCTCTGGTTGCATTTTGAGGATTTAAAGGGACGTCTTATAATAATAATAATAATAATCTTTATTGTCCGTATGGAAATTTGTCTTACAATTTGTGCATTACACCAAACAAAAAACATTATTACTATAAGAAACCAAAGTGTACATTCACACCAGACTCATTCATAATTTACATGTGACAAAGTTTATATCAGATTGTTCTTTGGTGACGTCTGGAGATTTCTGGGGATATCTGGTGACGTCTCTGGATTTCTAGAGAAGTCTGGGGATGGTCTCATCCAAAAGGAAAGAGTATTGTTAAGAAACGTACAAACTGGAGATAATAAACTTCTTTATGTAAAAAGAAAATGCACAAAGTTTTTACTGAACTATTGAAAAGGCTACACAATAATTATGACCTAAAATGTCTATTTAGTTTACATAAACATAGATCAATGGAAAAGATATGACAGTAGGTCTAGGCGAGGAGATCTAGGCGAGTCTTTAAGCATCATTAGAACACTTAGTGAAGCGCAATGACTCTGTAAGGATGTCAGATACTTGACACTAGAAGTGGTTTTACTGGGAAACTTTAAAAAACAAACAGGATGAGAATTACGAAATCGACGCACAATAACAGCAGCCAGCCATCGAAACTCAAAGGGAGCATGTCCTAATAGAGAGCATGGATGTTTAGTTCCACTTAGAAGCCTCTACATCTAGCCGTAGTGCAATGCCCTTGTGTTTTGTCTATTGGAAAGAGGGAAAAAAAACACGATAAATATGAAAAAAACATCTTTTAAAAAACAAAGCTTTTATCCAGGGGAGTTAAATCAATTATATACGTTGACCTAGATTGCCCGAGATTGACCTAGGAACACGCCTAGGATGTAATCATCTGCTTTTTTCTTTATTAGTATATATATATATGCGATTAGAAATACTTTTGTTAAGCACAATTTCATGCTTTTAGTTTTCTCAACACGCTATGTTCCTATCACTTGTCTGTACAATAAGGGGAGGGGAGGCTGAAAGAAGGGGTTATATCTGTTAAAGTTAGCGTGATCGCTTTTTAGATGCATTTATTTTATTTTTTGAAGTTTGAAAGACCTACATTCGAACTCGAGGGCTCAAGCCTATTTTAGCATCCTTAATCTAACACACTAACCACTGTGACGGCGCGGTATTTGCGAAAATAGAAGGAGTTATTTTTATCTATTAATAGTTTGAGACTTTAAAGCGGCCACATTTATTTATATACATACATACCAACAATTTCTTTCCCTTGTTAGATACCATACAAAATATTTAATGACCAATAGTTAATTAACTAACTGGCTATTTTTTTTTTATTGATTCTAGTGTTGACAGGCAAAAGAAATAATTGTGCGAAAGTTTGATCCGAGATTGGGTGCAGGAGAAATAACGTTTACAGACTTTTGACTAGACGTCACTAGACAGACAAGTGAGCTTATATAAGCTTTGTAGAAAGGAAATTAAATGACGTAGCTGAGTCAGACAGTCTAACATCACGTGACATTTTATGAAACTTTTAACCTACTTTCGTTTTAACACCATCACTCTTTTAAAAAGAAATTGTTTTAAAAAATATTCAGATGTTTACTTATCATTGTATGTGAATAAAATGATTTGAATATAACTTACTAGTCGACCGGCGGCGTAGCACACGCCGCTATTTTGCAGGGCCGGCCTTAGGTGACCGCAGTGGGCTCCACACTTATGCGACCGAAGTGGGCCCCGCACTTTCATAGGACCCGCTCTAATTCTAAGTGTATAAATTATTAAATTAAACCAATTTTTAACTTCTAACAGATTTCCCGCTAATACAAACTCTTAAATTTCACTTATTTTCCGTGACGTAACTCTAGTTCGTCCGACTTGCAGAAATAAGAGTATGATCTTTCCTTTACTTCTTCTTCTCGTCCAAACTCTTGAGCGAAGAAGAGAATTATATATATCATGGGCGTAGCCAGGGGGGGTTGGGGTTCAAACCCCCCTCCCCCCCCCCCCCGAAATGAAACGGACGACGGACGCCTGACTGATTTTTTGCATTGATTATGTTTATTTTAGGTGAGATTTTAAAATTAAACCATCACTTGCCCCAGCTCAGCCAAGGGGGTTTTGAGTTTAAAACCCCTAGCAGGGGGTTTTGCAGTCGAATTCCCCTCTTCTATAAAACAAAACAAAAATAATGCAAACGACAATCCCCAAATTCCAAGAGCATAGCTAAGGAAGGTTTTGATTTTAAAACCTCTCCGAAATTTACTATAAAGCCCCCTCTTCAATATAAAAAAGCAAATTACACACTGAGAAGGCTATGAGCGTAGCCAAATGGGATTTGAGTTTAAACCCCCCTTCAGCGGGCTTAAAGCTAAAAAAAAAAACTCTTCATTATTTTTAAAAAATGTAAATTACACACTAAAATTCTTTGAGCTTAGCCAAGCCAAAGGGTAGTTTTGAGTTTATATCCTCTATTCCAGATGGGTTTTTTTAGTTTAAAACCACTCCAGATATTTTTGAGTTTAAAATCCCCGTATAGAGAGTTTTAAGGTTGAAAGCCCCCTCTTCAATATTATTCTAAACTAAATTACACTCACCAAATTCTATGAGCGTAGCTAAATAGGGTTTAAAAAAACTTTTTTATTTATTTTTTATTTTAGTTTAAAACCCCACAGCAGATGATTTTAACGATAAAACTTCCATTTTCGATATAAAATCTAAAGCAAACTACAGTCACCTAATTCCAAGAGCGTAGCCAAGAGAGGTTACAAAATTTCTACCAGTGGCTGGACTCTATTAATAAAGTGCAGTGGATAGTCATCTCCCGAAATTGAAAAAGACTAAATGTGGCTCAACAAAAATGGCTAAGACGGATTTTAGGAGTCAGTTATATAGATCGAGTCTCAATCAAGGAAGTGCTATGCCGAACTTGGAGTCGACCCTATAGTGACAGAGCGTCGCATGAGGTTTGCGGGACATGTATTCCGACAAAATGAATTACGCATAATAAGAGTTTCAATGACATAGAGGCCATTACGAAGAAGGAAATCGCAAACAGGAACATCCTAGTACAACTTCACGCCACACTTTCATAGAGGTCCTCAGAGCAGGTGGGAAGAGGCTTCAGACATTGCCAGTGACAGATTTTTGTCGAAACATCTTGCCGCCCAATGAGCCGAATGGCGCGTGAGGATCTAAGTAAGAATAGCACAGGTTTTGAAATAAAACTTTTTAATAGCAGAATAATGCACTGTAGATACCTCAGGATATGCATTTTTGAGGCTTTCAATACCGAATTTAGTGCTTGGCGGCGGGGCTTCGCCCAGCGCTGGGGGAGTTCACAGCGCTCCCCCAGATCCCATTGCTGTCAAGGGCGGGGAGTCTACAAATTTTCTACCAACTCCAGGAAGAACCTATTCTAGGGTATAATAAACGTCTTCCGACAGAATGAAGAGTCAGAATGTAATAAAGATTAATTATATATACACACACACATATATATATATATATTGTTTTCCGCGGGGGGGGGGGGGGGAGGGGGGGGGAGAAAAATCCCCCCCCCCAAACCCCGCCCCCGAAAAAAAATCCTTGCTACGCCCATGATATATATAGATAATAATAATGACATTGTTCTTCTACCTGATTATAAGTTAAGGTACAGAGTACATTATATTATTAACTAGCTGGATATGACCCGCGGCCTCTGATACTTAGTTTTGGGTATTAATGATCTAGTGGATTGGATTTAGATCTTGTCAAATATGGCGAATGTTCCCTTAACATTCATTATTTTATATATCTAGCCATGGTTTACCCGATTTGTTAAATAGATTTGTTAAATTTTTATGGCCCCATTGGTTGTGGGAGGAACATAAAAGATACTCTACGGTCTGCGCCATGATCCCCTGAGGGTACTAAAGACGACCAAAAGGGTCTGCAGAAAGATGAAAATTGTATGAAATTAAAATAACTTTATCGATAAAAGCCAGATTATCGGATCCGATAATTGTTTATTAATAATCAACTCGCCCTTTACTAGGCCTACTCTTTAGTATGTCAATTATGTACTATTCTATAATGATCTAGAGTCTAAACCAAAGATTTGAAAACATTCTTCACTTGGGTATTCCCGACTGGGTGTTGAACTATTTAAGATAAGATACGATAAGATAATTTTATTGATCCAATCAAATGGAAATTTAGTTTGACTACAATTGACAACCTCAGCGTAACTACTTTACAAAAACAATATGGATGAAAACATTCACACACAAAATACATACACATTCACAACCAGCGCTTTATGAGTTTGACTTCTAAGAGTCTATGTACTTCTCGATGACGACAGCTGATCTTGTAACACTCTGACCGATAGTGGGGTAAAGGAGTTTTTAAATCTTTCTGTTTTAGTCCTAATGGAAAGGAGACGACCTTTTCGTTCAGATCTTATGTAACAGTGGTTTAATGGACGCAGGTTGTCTTTAAGAATCGTGAGTGTTTTGGAAATGCATCTTTCTTGAAAAAGCTCTTCAAGAGATGGTAGCTGTATTTGAGTGACATACGATGCTTTTTTAATTAGTCTATTAAGTCTATGTCTTTGTGCTAGTGAAGTATTACCATACCAGCAGGTGATTTGCAAAGTTCATTTCCGAATTAAACCTCATCGCAAATTAAAGAAACCAGCCCAAAATGTGTCCTCGTTGAATCAGCCATAAGTACACTCATTAATATCATCCACCTCTACCCAAGTGATTAATTTTTAAAAAAATTATTTTAAACAAAAGTTTCTAAATAAACTCTCCTTTGACAACATATGTTACTTATATCTTGAACACACGTACGCCAGCGGGTATTCCCGATTGAAGTCATTAAGGAGTTAAAGAAATAGAATAATAGACGTCCAGGAACTTTTTACGCACCGTCAGTCTAAGTCGATGTCTAGGCCTATCACCAAACTAGAAATCTTCTATACCAGATGTCTAAATTCAGTATTCTAGTCTAGACTTTAAACGTTGCCATGTGTTGATCTGTATCACCAAACTAGAGCCTTCTATAGTAGTGCTTCGCTCAGTAGTACGGGAAGATCTTGGAGGCGGTACGCGATGCTGATTTTTTTTTTAATTACCCATTAATTAAGTTCTGTTGATAAGTTAAAATAAATTAAAGTTTTATTTTAATTCACATAATTTAATATTATTTTATTCAATATTTGTACAAGCACATAACCAGTGTTATTTTACATGTTAATAATACATTTGTCAAGGATCAGAAATATAGGAATGTACCTCAGCGTCATTAAGATTCCATTTTCTTAAGACTACCTTGAATAAACTTCAGAAGTGTACACATTAAACCCACTAAATAATACTTCATTGTAAGACATTTAGCGGTCTTTGAATGTGACCGCATCACAAACCAAGAGATAAGAGACAGGTTTACTGCGGCGATTGGACCCTGTGATTGTTAACATTGTGTTTATGTGTATGTGTTTGTTATTAGTATGTAGAGTTATTCCCCTTGGTAAGAAAGTTCATATCATAGTGCTGTGGGTAACCTCGTACTATGAGGGTGTGTAAATAAATGGATTGATGAATCTAGTGTTATAGTGTTGTGGTTGTTTATAGTTATTAAGTGTAGCGTTTTCTAGCTTAACAGTGATGACCTGCTAACTATCGTAAAAAAAACGCAATCAAAAAATCTATGGCCATCTTACAAGATCTTCGGGGCTCGCAAAGACCTTCCGTCAGGGAACAGTACCAGGGAAAAGAAGAAGAGGCAGACAGAGAAAGCGAAGGGAGGACAACATAAAAGAATGGACGGGCCCGCCATTGAAAGAGGTTCTAACTAAGGCAAAAGAAAGAGAGGAATGGAGAAAGATGGTTGACGAATCTTGCATGGTGCCCCAACGATACAAAAGATAGGTAAAAACATTTAGATTTTTTGATGTACCAATAAAAATGGCAATATTTCTATAGTGAAGCACTAAATGTGATTGAAATATATTTTTATTAAATACCAATACAATTATGTATTAACACAGGTAAAAGACTGTTAGATGTGTAGTTTTTTTCTTTAATATGGAAATGAACATGTTATGAAATAACCTTGCATATAGTGAGAGAAATTGCATCAATTATTTGAATCAGTCATAATTCTACACATTTGCGTACATCTACTATCATAGTCTTGTTACTTTTACGAGTCTGCCATGTGAAAAAGAGACTGATTGGCGCTTTGTGGAGGGAAGGGGGACATGATTGGCGTTCAATAGCTGCCTTATCTCAAGTTGTTACAGGACTTATCTCCCATCGTCTTGTTACATTTCACATAGAAAAAAAAATTTACAATATTCGATGAATGGGATAAATAATTGGTTCATTTTTGGTTGATTTATCTGATTCCTGTGTTGTCATTGAAAACAATGAATAATTGTGTAGTTTCAACTTGATCCTAGAATGGGAAGTGGAAGAAATATTGTCTATAAGATTCCATCCCGACAGACAGACTTGATAACAGCTGGATTAAAAAAAAAGATTGAAATGTGTCCTGGCTAAGATCTTATGCGGTGTGTAAATCCAACAATATTTCATCAACCAGTTTAAACTAGCCAATGTTGCCCAAGAGACATTACAACTAACAAGATTAGTAGACTTATTAATATTTCAAATGGTGTATTTATTTACAAATGGGAGGCTTGTCTCCCTATTAGTCGTTTTCTTATCTGTCTCTGTCACTAATCAACCTTCTCTAAGCTCTAGCCGTCTTGTTCTCCATGTACGCATATCCTGCAACGTCATTCATCTGTCTGACTACGTCATTACTTTATTTAACCGTAGCCGCTAAAAAAAAACAAAACAATAAACAAAAATTTCTTTAAAAAAACGAACATAATCTCTAAACTAAACTTGGTCACTACAAATAAAAGTTAAAAGAAACAACATTTATTGTTCATTGCTGTAGAACAAATACATATAAATACTAGTTACATTGTTAAAGAAAGTAGTTATGAAATAGTTTGGTAGAACCTACGATAAAATGCAAATGAATAAACACTAGTTAAATGTACATCTGTAGCAATCAAATTACATTCTGTCTACAATACATACTTTTGGAAAGAGTGTAAACATTAAGATCTACATCTGTAGCAATCAAATTACATTCTGTCTACAATACATACTTTTGGAAAGAGTGTAAACATTAAGATCTACATCTGTAGCAATCAAATTACATTCTGTCTACAATACATACTTTTGGAAAGAGTGTAAACATTAAGATCTACATCTTGAGTAATCAAATTACATACTTTTAGAAAGAGTGTAAACATTAAGATCTACTTCTGTAGCAATCAAATTACATTCTGTTTACAATACATACTTTTAGAAAGAGTGTAAACATTAAGATCTACTTCTGTAGCAATCAAATTACATTGTCTACAATACATACTTTTGGAAAGAGTGTAAACATTAAGATCTACATCTGTAGCAATCAAATTACATTCTGTCTACAATACATACTTTTGGAAAGAGTGTAAACATTAAGATCTACATCTTGAGTAATCAAATTACATACTTTTGGAAAGAGTGTAAACATTAAGATCTTCATCTGTAGCAATCAAATTACATTCTGTCTACAATACATACTTTTAGAAAGAGTGTAAACATTAAGATCTACATCTGTAGCAATCAAATTACATTCTGTCTACAATACATACTTTTAGAAAGAGTGTAAACATTAAGATCTTCTTCTGTAGCAATCAAATTACATTCTGTCTACAATACATACTTTTGGAAAGAGTGTAAACATTAAGATCTACTTCTGTAGCAATCAAATTACATTCTGTCTACAATACATACTTTTGGAAAGAGTGTAAACATTAAGATCTACTTCTGTAGCAATCAAATTACATTCTGTCTACAATACATACTTTTAGAAAGAGTGTAAACATTAAGATCTACTTCTGTAGCAATCAAATTACATTCTGTCTACAATACATACTTTTGGAAAGAGTGTAAACATTAAGATCTACATCTGTAGCAATCAAATCACATTGTCTACAATACATACTTTTGGAAAGAGTGTAAACATTAAGATCTTTATCTGTAGCAATCAAATTACATTGTCTACAATACATACTTTTGGAAAGAGTGTAAACATTAAGATCTACTTCTGTAGCAATCAAATTACATTCTGTCTACAATACATACTTTTGGAAAGAGTGTAAACATTAAGATCTACATCTGTAGCAATCAAATTACATTCTGTCTACAATACATACTTTTAGAAAGAGTGTAAACATTAAGATCTACTTCTGTAGCAATCAAATTACATACTTTTGGAGAGAGTGTAAACATTAAGATCTACATCTTTAGCAATCAAATTACATTCTGTCTACAATACATACTTTTGGAAAGAGTGTAAACATTAAGATCTACATCTTGAGTAATCAAATTACATTCTTTTGGAAAGAGTGTAAACATTAAGATCTTCATCTGTAGCAATCAAATTACATACTGTCTACAATACATACTTTTGGAAAGAATGTAAACATTAAGATCTACATCTGTAGCAATCAAATTACATTGTCTACAATACATACTTTTGGAAAGAGTGTAAACATTAAGATCTACTTCTGTAGCAATCAAATTACATTCTGTCTACAATACATACTTTTGGAAAGAGTGTAAACATTAAGATCTACATCTGTAGCAATCAAATTACATTCTGTCTACAATACATACTTTTGGAAAGAGTGTAAACATTAAGATCTACTTCTGTAGCAATCAAATTACATTCTGTCTACAATACATACTTTTGGAAAGAGTGTAAACATTAAGATCTACTTCTGTAGCAATCAAATTACATTCTGTCTACAATACATACTTTTGTAAAGAGTGTAAACATTAAGATCTACATCTGTAGCAATCAAATTACATTCTGTCTACAATACATACTTTTAGAAAGAGTGTAAACATTAAGATCTACATCTGTAGCAATCAAATTACATTCTGTCTACAATACATACTTTTAGAAAGAGTGTAAACATTAAGATCTACTTCTGTAGCAATCAAATTACATTCTGTCTACAATACATACTTTTAGAAAGAGTGTAAACATTAAGATCTACTTCTGTAGCAATCAAATTACATTCTGTCTACAATACATACTTTTGGAAAGAGTGTAAACATTAAGATCTACTTCTGTAGCAATCAAATTACATTCTGTCTACAATACATACTTTTAGAAAGAGTGTAAACATAAAGAAGAAAACATTTTTAAACTTTATAAAAAAAAAAAAAAAAAAGCTTATATTAAGTATAATTGTATCAATTAGTTTGAATCAGACATATAATCAAATTTGAAATAGATCTAGATTAACAAATACTAACAATAATAAATCTATGCTGTTAGAAATATTTGTATCTATTGTTTTTGTTTCGCACAATTTCATGCTGTTAGCTTACTCGATAAGCTATGATCCGATCACTTTGTCTGGAGCAGTTGAAAAGGAGTAGGAGGAAAAAGAATGGTGTATCTGGGTGATTGCTTTTTAAATGAATTTATATAAAACAAAACAAAAAAGGTGAACGACCTGAATTCGAACACGAGGACTAAAGCATCCTCAGTCCAATACACTAACCACTGCCAGTGAATCTCTTATGAAAATAGAAGGTTTTATAGTTATTTGCCGTTTGCTTCCAATGTACGAAAATGTAAAAAAAAAAATACAGTTAAATTATTGAAAAAGGTTTTGCTAATTTGCATAATGTTTTAGTGTGGCATTGGAGTGCATTTTATTGCGTTTCTCGTCTTAGTTTATTAAAGCGAAAGTGGTAGATGTAGAACTATATCTATATTTAAACCTTTTTTACTTAAAGTTTCACGAAAAATCTCAAAGAAAAAAAAAAGTTTGAATGCAAATAAACAGTTAAAAGAGTTCTTAATTTGTATATATTAAGACAACCCGATGAGGTCAAAAGTTAGGGTCAAAGCAAATTATGTAAAACATTTTTACCTTATGCCCATTCTTTTAACTTTAACAAAGATCGTCGAGATCACCATCACTGTTCGTATCAAATAGATGAAAACGTTATGGAAAAAAAGAAGGGGAGGACGATCGGATCAACACAAATTTTGATGACAAAGGTATTATGCCCCCTTGATTTGTTTATTAAAGCCCACACGTAATTTTTTTTTTATTCCCGAAAATATCTTTTAAATATTTGTTTTTAATATTTAGCAACATAACGGGATCAAAATGCCGGGTTTTGCCGGGTCGATGGCTAGTAGCAAGCGGTCATGTACAAGCAACAACAAAAAAAAAACCTTTAAATTTAAGAGTTCTCTTTTCCTGACACCATATAATTTGCATAAACGCCTTCATCGATATGGTTTTCTGCGTTCTCATTGGTCAATGCAGCCTCTTCCGGATCGAAATGTTTTAACGCTGACTCTGTTGTGTTCATGTAGATACTCTGTCTGTCTTCATCTTCATTGGGTACGTCTGGGTTAGTTTCAGTTTCTGTTCATTGTAAGAAATAAAGGTTTGATTATAATGATCATTGAAGAATTCATTGAGGCTACAGCATAAGCAGCATGCATTAAGCAACTTTAGATTTTGAAAATGGATTAAATGTCATAAGGCAGTGTTTCCCAAACTTTTTTCTTTAACGGAACACTTTCTGAGTATTTAGCTTAACACTTGCTTATTTTTTTCGATAGATAAATTCACATGGTAGCCTATTATTTAATTATTCCAGTAGTTCGTGGAACACCTTTTCAGGCCTCGTGGAACACTAGGGTTCCTCGGAACACAGTTTGGGAAACACCTTCATAAGGTATCAGTAATACAGGCAGTTAGTTGTCAATCGCGCCAGTATACATTATCTTATCAATTACAGACGTTCCTTCAAAGAAGAGGATAATTCGTCCTACGCGCAAACATACAACAATCTAGTCGTGTATGTTAATTAGAGACTTAAAAACTCTACTACTAATAACACTATTGTATATAGTCTAAAAGTAGCACTGCCTATGGATGTAGGTTATAACATTTTTTTCGGTAAAATCGATAGACTAAATTAGTTGTACACCGTACAATCTGTAAAATATTTTTTCAGAGTGTGTCAATTTTTACGCGAATATTATAAAATCTTTAACAATTAACACGGGCCATAGCGACAACTATGCGTCCCTTTCGGTGGCCCTACCAGCCTAATTGGGTACCGGCCCACCGGGCATTTGCCCGAATGCCTATATAGCCGGTCCACCCCTGACCATTACCCGTTGACCCACTCCTACTTTACCTACCACCGCATTGTGATTCAGGGACAAAAACCAATGACGAAAATAAAACTGAATCAAGACATTATTATTTCCCTTTACCTTGGATTTGAAAAGCTGCATACGAAGGGTCGGAGACTTTTCGGTTGAAGCTCATCTTATATGAGTTATTGCCCCTTAAGGTGCTTTGTTTGCCCAGGTTACTTCCCCTGTGTTTTCTGAACCAAAACGCCACTAAATATATGGAGAAAAATAACGGAAACAGTAAGTTGATCAGCAGACCCGTGTTCAGTACGAAATTGCTGGTGTCCACCTCTGTGAATAAGAAATAAAAGCATTAGAACAATGTTGCAGTGGTTAAAATACTTAATAAGTTTACATCTATTATCTTATCTGTTATAGCTAAAGAGTACACAGAGTCCTTCAGTTTATTCCAGCTTTTTTTTTTCACATCCTTGTGCAGAGCTTTGATTTCACTGTCTAATTTGTTGATGAGCTCTCGCTTGATATCTGGGTTTTGTGAGCTTACCAACATCTAGGCGCTTTGCATGCTTGCGTTCTTGAGGCCCTCTAGGTTGTTTGATGCATATTTTCAGCTTAGATGAGATTAGGCGATCATCAGTGCAACAGTCCAAAGTAAAAAAATTCTGCATTCGAGACTTGCTATTCGTAGATGCCCTAATTGCCTCAAATGAAAAACGCCTTCGCCAACGCCTGCTAAAATTTTGGCCTCACCATAAATGTAAAAAAGTCAGAAGTGCTGCAACAACCTCCTTCAAATAAATCTGTTACAGAACCAGACATTTTTTTAGATGGCCAGAAACTAGCAAATGTTAAATTGTGTCTACCTGGGGAGCACCATATCAGCAAACGCCAACCTAGAGGATGAGCTAGACTTCCGTGA